CCCCACTCTTGGGCAAATTCTTTTTTTTTTTTTAATTATCTTTTACCCTGAACCCACACACCTGTCTTGTACTCTGTGTATTGTTTCCCTTCACTGTTAGTGATCAGGATATTTGTGTGTTCTTTGTAATCTGCCCTCTGCCTGATTAATTTAGAGAAGTCACAGTAAGTGTTTGCAACATCATAACTGTTTTGATTATGCTAAATTATTTGAAAAATGGCAAGGAGCTTTATCTTGGAATGAGCTGGATAGTAGGAGTGGAGAGTCAAATATAGCAACTATTCTCTTCTTAGGCATAGCTAACGCTTGGCCTGTGACATCAGAATGATAGGTTGTTGGTGTGTTCGCCAGGACTTTGAGGTATTCTCCTTGATGTTTAAAGATCCAAAGGCACTTTTTTGTTAACATCCACCTGGATAGCCCTTAAAAATGAGGAGAAAAGACTTCTGTAAAGTATCATCCTTTAGAAGAGCGCCTTCCGACAGCAAAGCAATATGCTCTCTGCCCAAAGGGTGAAGCTTCATTTATAACGAAGCACAAGTGAAGTCTCAGCTTTCTTCACTGAATTCCTATGAACTTGAACTGAGAGCAGAGCATAATTCTGGACATGAGGCAATCTTGCTGCTGGTGGTAGGTAACTCAGTGGGTTCCACTGTATTACTGGGTTGGCACTGAACATGGTGCAGAACCTGAATCTGTAAGCAGCTGACTTGGTGGGTAGTGCCCACCCACTGAGCCAAACTGGTGCTTGCCCTCCCTGAATGAATCTGAGATGGAGAGTAGGCTGATCAGAAAGCATCTGAAACCATATGTACTGCTTCTATCAGAACTACCGTAACAGTGGTGTATAATCCTGATTGTGGATTTATGGCATCAGGTGATGTCTGTTTCTTCAATTAGAATTAGAAGTGGAAAGGAACAGTCTGGCCATCTCATCTAATCCTCATTAGCCAATGCAGGATTGTTCCCGAAGTATACTTTTCAGTGTTTTGTCCAGTTTAGTTGTAAATATCTCAAGCTTTGGAGTTGCCATAACTTCGTTTAGGAGATTATTCTGCAGTTTAATGTCAACATGTAAGGCACTCTTAAATTGGTTTGAGTGTGCATATGTGGGTGGCACCAATTTAACTACATCAGTTTAAAAAATGATTTTAGTTAAATAAATACAACTTCTCTGTGTAGATTAGGCCTTGGTTAATGACAAGATGCAACTGGTGGAAGAAACAAACTTGACTGTAGAAGGAAGAAGGGGTAACACGAGTGTGCTTTTGTGTAGGCTAGCTGTGTGTTCAATGTAGCTTGCCACCTCTGTAGCCATTCTTATTCGTAATGAGGCCCACAGATCCATGACATGAGGTACTCTGCTGTATGCAGCCTTGGAGGCAGGCCAGACCTGTCCATCAGAGATATGGGTAGGTGTGGCTCCATCTCTGAGACAGCACCAGATTTTGTCTACTTATCCAGCTGTAGGCATGCAGACCAGCTCCCCCGTACTGCAGAGCAAACTTGAAGAAGAAGAAGAAGAGGAAGAGGAAGAAGAAGAAGAAGAAGAGGAAGAAGAGGGAAAAAAGGCCTTAACAACTCCAGATTGTTTGGGTCTGCCTTTATTGGCAGAGAAGAGTACCCTTCTCCTCTGTGCCCCTGCTCACCCATCCAAAGTGCAGCATGGCAGAGAAGGCTAAGAAGAGAGAGAAAGCAGACACTCTGACTCCTGCACTTCCCTTGCTGATTAAGTGCCTGCATGGAGATTTGTGCCTGTTCTGTGGAGTCCCAGGCCCCCGTCAAATCCTCAAGCAGGGGCAGGGTTTCTTGCAGCCTCCTTCCCCAAGTAGGAGAGCTCCCAGCAAACAGTGACAGCACCTCAGCAGCAAAATCCCCTGGGTCTGGTACAGGCTTGCAGTGATGCCAGGACCAGCAAGCGGCAGCTCTCCTCCCTCCCCCACAAAACATGGGTGGAGTGTAGGTTGAAGCACAATATCAAAGGGCCGGGGAAGTTTCCTGCCCAGCCACTGGAGCCTGTGCTCACAGCCATGTCTGTTAACCACAGAGCAGCTCCCTGGCACCTCCCTGCAACTGCTGCAACAGCAGGGAGCTACAGACAAGGATCCAGAGACAGAACAAGGAGAGCCTGGTAAGGGGAGCTCAGGCCCAATCCTTCCCTCCATTCTACAGCATGCCAGAGGACAGACATTGAGCAAAAGTGTACTGAGTATTTTGAGTATTGTAAACTACACTTACGAGGTCTGCAGATGTCTCAGATGACCCACAGTTATAAATCCCTCCCCAGGCCCCCTGTGAGTATGTGAGTGTGGAACAGGGATTTTCCTGCTGCACCTAAAGATTGGGAAAGCATCAGGCTGCCCCCCTCAGCTGCCACTGCAGATCACCATGTCCAAACGATTGAGCTGTCATTACCAGCTGCCTCTGTGAGTCGCCAGGCCCTAATGGTTCTGGTTATTGCTCCCAGGTTGCCATGCCTTGCTTCCACCTCCTTCCCCCAGCAAATGGCTAGGGAGGGATGAGAGAGACAGCAGCCCAGATTGGAAAATTGCAAGGCAGTAATGGACCTCTTGGCCCCACCATTTTTCTTTCTACCTCACACTTCCCTGTGGCCTCCATTTTATAAGGCCAGAAGGTTCCTCAGTGTGCACCAGGCACAATGTATCCTGGCACCACTACCAAAGATAAATGTGCCTTTTTCCCTAGTGGTCAGGGACTTGTCATTTCTAACTGGGAGAGATTTTTACCTGTAAGAGTGGCTTCAAGAAGTAAATCAACTAGCTCAGCATATTCCAGAGTCTGGTTGAGATTTACCCATTGGTACCAGGACAAAGGTCTCAGCCCTACCTTTGCATTGGTACCACAGATTCTCAGATTTCTTCACAATTAACTCAGGGTAGGCCTGGCAGCTGCAGACACTGAGGGTCAAGTCACTGCTTTGTCAAGAATCCTTAGTGCAATAAACAAGTAGTGAATTTCATCATACCCAGATATCGAACCTTTTTCTTGTGAGAGCAGCATCTCTTCTACATCCTCCTGAAGTGCATGAAGTCTCTTTATGGGCTCTTACCTGGTTCTCAGTGCCATTACAGACCCTCAATTGGAACCACTCATGAAGCTGTCTCATTACTTTCTAACCACTAAAGTGGCCTTTTTGATAGCAATCTTGTCTGTTTGCAGGGTGCCCCTGAGACGGAAGCTCTTTTCCTGGAACCTCAACACTACATTCCATAAGGGTAGAGTGGTACTCAGATCCGACCATGCCTTCATACTAAAGATTAACTCCAGACTCCATAGAGCACTGGAAATTGTTCTGCTATCCTTTTGCCCAGTTCCATCACACTCCAAAAAGAAACTGGCATATTCTAGATGTCTTCTAAGCTCTTAAAGAACGTATTCACCACACAGCTCAGGTCAGAAGGACAAAGTCTTTGTTTGTGCTTTATTATCTAGTGTCAAAGGGAAAGACGGTTTCAAAATCCTCTATTTCCAGGTGGCTGAAGTTTTGTAACTAAGAAGCATACAAGTCAAAAAGTGTAACTCCATCTTCCAATATCAGAGCTCATTCCCTCAGAGCTGTAGCAGCTTCATGGGCAGAAAAATAACATACGTCATACAAGAAAATCTGTAAAGCAGGCATCTTCTCAACTGTTCATACCACCTTCAAAATTCTAGAGGCTGGACTTCAGTCATTGTCTGATGCTGCCTTTGGTAGATGAGTGCTCCTCACTATAGTATCCCAGTAACTCTTTTCACATCTGTACATAACTGTATATTGTTCCCCCCCTATATTGTGTGGATAGTGGTATGAAAACCCCAGTGTCATAGACCTGTGGTCCTGAGTATGAATAAGAATAGGAAAATTTATCCATATTTTGCCTGAATTTTTTCTTTCTTGGAGTAATGAGGTCCACAGATCAAGCCAGCCTTGAATGGACTGTTAATTGGGAAATATCGGATTATTAATTGGCACTCAAGTTTGTTATTCAGGAGAATTGTTCTCTTTAGTCTCAGTGCTTAATTTTCCTTACTGATACAGAGTGCTTAGTTTTTCCTAGGTAGGGAAGTGTAGCAACTGACAGTTTCTCAGAGGTGGCATGAGCCACACCAGCCCTGACTCTGATGGACAGGTGTGGTCTGCCTCCAAAGCTCTATAGAGCAGAGCACCTCATGTCATGGTTCCATGGCCCTCATTACTCCAAGAAAGGAAATTTTTAGGTAAGACATAGATACATTTTCCTATTACTGTCTGGCAGTGTTCTGTAGGCATCATGGTACAAGTGAATTTGAAGGAGGATTAGGTAGCGGCTTTTTCATTTTGGTGTGTGTGTGTGTATGGGGGAGGGGAGGGTTATGCTGTGCAAAAGACGTGACATGAG